AAATTATTTAATTAATTAATAACACACCATTTTTTTTCTAGAGCTCATAAACATCTTCTTTCATGATAAATCCTTTTTTGATAAATCCTATTATTAGACTTAGGTTTCCTGAATTATTCTTCATTTCTGCTGCTATAGACTTAGACTGCTGGAGCACAAACTGAGCACATTTCCTCACTCTGCTGTTGTTTTTAGTCTCTCTTCTCCACATGTTTATTGTAATCATTTCTATCGATAACGTGTTTTTTCTTTTTGTCTCTTTTCCAGAAGAAGGTGTACCTGGACCAGTCCCAGACCAGTTCTTCTGTGTTTACCTGTGTCTCTTTCCTGTCCCTCAACCAGCCGGTCGAGGCAGATGGTCTCCTGTCCTGAGCCTGGTTCTGCTGGAGGTTTCTTCCTGATTAGCAGGGAGTTTTTCCTCTCCACTGTTTGCTCAGGATGGGAGACTGTGATGAAGTGATTCAACACAATCTGCTGGTTTCTTCTTCAGATTGTTCTTTTTATGTACAGTGCCCTGAGACAACGTATGTTGTGACTTGGCGCTGTATAAATAAACTGAATTGAACTGAATGATGAGTTCGAACATATTTCATTTTGTCACAAGTAACTAGGTGTTACATTTTAAAGTGAAGAAGAAAAAGTATCATTTTTAGCTTTAAAATGAAACAAAATAAAAGTATAAGTAGCTATTTAAAAAAATGGTAAAATTACAAATCCTCAAAAAAACTGTTTAAGTACTGTAATGAAGTAAATGTACTTAGTTACTATAAACCTCTGGCAGATGTTTTCTCCTAAATTCAAAACATTCCAACATTTTCTATGAGGAAAAACTCTCATTTACTTTCTAATTTCTATAACTCTGGATTTTGTCCAGAGTGCATCAAAACAGAATGAAATCTTATTCAAGCTTTCACCTCTGTCTTCTCGCCAGTTTACTTGAACATTTGGTTTGATGGATATGTATGAAAAATAGCCTCAATTAAGGATTGTTAATGCACTGTGAGTTGTTGTATATATGCATTTATCAACAAAACTGATTTGTCTTAATTCAAGTTAATTGTTTTTCTTGAAACAAGATTTTTTTAGGTTTTATACAGCAATGTCAAACTCTTATGAAATGTCAGAAAAGCTTACATTGTTCTGATGGTTTGGACTGACATCAAAGCATGATGAGAGGTTTTGACTAGAAATGAGAAAAATAGACATAGTAAGATTTTACACTTTTGCAGTGCATTTCAGTCAGTTTTTCCAGATAATGAGTTCAAATGAGCCACAGTAGCTGAGTCATCCTCAAAACATGCATTAGTCAGCATGGTCAAACCTTTAAATTTGACCAAAACATTCGCAACTGCTTCTCTTCTCAGCACAATACAAACTAATTTGGAACTTTGGCATCAGGGGTGTCACTAGGTTTTAAGGACAAGGGGGGCTCAGCCCCCAGGAGACACACAGAAATTTTGTATATTATATACTTGTATATTGTGTGTGTGTGTGTGTGTGTGTGGGGGGGGGGGGGGG